ATGCTAATAACAGTAAAACGTGATAAGAATATAGGAAAAATAGTACTATGGGAAGATAAAGGCGTGAATAATCCAAGCTTTTAAGATACAGTCTACTGTGTTACAGAGAGACTGATGCTGAAAGAAGTTAGTGACTAGTGAAGTTCACAGAGCTAAAGAGTTGTAGAACTGAAACAAGAATCTTAAGACGAGATTCCTAGCTGAGGTCTTTTATGAGAGCACATTGCCTCTCAGAATTTATCAATGGAGTTGGAGAAGTGCACAGGGTTGCTGCCTCTGTATCCTGCCCTCTCCATAGACCAGACACACCCCAGAGCATATCCGGGCTGTTAGGCTTTGAAGTGAGTCTTGTGAGTCCTCTCTGCTGATAATAGCTGTCTACTTGGACCTTAATAAGACAGTTCATAAGATGTACTGTGGGCTGCTTCATCATTTCCTGAGCCATATCTGTAGTATCATATGCTTTTCCATTCAAACCTGTTTGTCTCCAGATGTCTTTAGCCACTGCATTAGAACAAACTTTGGAGCATGTATCCATGATATGTGTATATTTGTTAATAAATTATATTCATGTACTAATATGTATTTATATTATGTATTTTATGAAGCATAGAAAAAGTTGAAATAAAAAGCCATTTGATAAAAATAAATATAAGTAGAAGTTATAATATGTTATTTTTGATCATCAGAGGATTGTTTTGTCACTTCATCCCCCCTCCCCAAGGGGACCATGTTTTGTCTTAGAAGAATAAATCCCAAATGTTGTCACGGCTAAATGTTAGGGTCATTTTTCTTTATTTCCATTGGCATTAGTCATCATCAGATTTAAACTTCTGTTGGTTACCATACCTTTTTTTTTTTGTTTGCATGATCCGTATTAGGGTTCTCCAGAGAAACAGGGAGAGGGAGAAAGAGAGAGAAACAGAGGGAGAAAGAAGCGATTGGGATTTAATTTAAGGGATTGGTTCATGTGGTTGTGGGGGCTGGCAAATCTGAAATCTGCAAGGTAGGCTGAAAGCTGGAAATTCATGTAAGAGTTGATGTTGCAGCTTGAGTTTGAAGGCTGGAAACTCAGGCCAATTTTTATCCAGAGCTCTGGAGGCAGAATTTTTTCTCCCTTGGGGGACCTCAGTCTGTGCTCTTAAGCGCTTTAACTGATTGTATGGCAGAGGCCTGCTCATATAGTGGAGGGCATTCAGCCTTACTCAAAGTCTGTTAATTTAAATGTCAGTCACATCTAAAGAGCACCTTCACTGCAACGTCTCTACTGGTGTTTGATCAAACAATTGGGCACCGTAGCCTAGCCAGGTTGACACATAAAATTAACTGTCCTGCATTCCTGTCATCATTTTTTAGCTGGGACTTTTGTGGTGTCCTCCTAGCTTATATTCCAGCTTTCAATGTCTGCTACTTCCAATCCAGCCCCTGTACTATCAAAAAGACCTTTGAAAGAAAGAGGTTGTTATGGGGGAGTTTGATTCCAGACTGCATACATAATATTCATTGAAATAATATATTGGTTTAGTGTTTTCCAGAATACAGCTATGATAACATTTAAAGCTCTGTGCAGTCTGACCCCTCTAGCTCTCTAGCCTCAACTCTTGTCATTGCCAGACTTCTGTACCCTTTAGCTACCCACCAAGGTACCATTAGTCCTTCAAATGCACTTACAATTTCCTGCCTCTGTGGCTTTGCTTTGTGAAACAGAACCAGCACTAATTAATATAAGGCACAATATGATAAAATTATTGGAATAAAGAAGGGGCAGTGGCAGAACGGATGTCGATGTGAATAATTCAAGCTTTTCAGATTTGAAAAGACTTTCTTAAGGTGAGCAGAAAGCAAAGGGTGAGATAGCTGGTGTCATGGGCAGAATTGTGGCCCTGCCAAATTCATATTGAAATGCCAATTTCTAGCACATCAGACTGACCATATTTGGACATAGGGTCATTACAGAAATAATTAGGTTAAAAGGAAGTCATTAGGCAGGCCCTTATCCACTATGACTGGTGTCCTTACAAGAAGAGGAAATTTGGACAAGACTCCTAGAGAGGCAAGACCATGTGAAGACAAAGGGAAAAGGTAGCCATCTATAAGCCAAGGAGACAGGGCTCAAAAGGAACCAGCCCTGCCCACACCTTGATCTCAGACTTCCACCCTCCAGAAATGTGAGAAAATAAATGTCTATTGTTTAAGCCACCCAGTCAGTGCCACTTTGTGATGACAACCTTAGCAGACTCATACAGATGGAGAGGAAAGGCACGTGGGGAGCAGAGCAAGCTAACTTGAGAGGCAGCGCAGGTGCAGAGTGCTGTGCCTGTGGGCCACGCATCTAGGTTACCACTACTAGGTTACAGCTGAAGGTTGGCTGAGTTCCAGAATGGGGTGGACATTTGCCTGGTACTTGAGTTAGCCGACCTCTACTGGTGTAGAAAGGGCGTCTGTCATGATTTGTTTGGTCTGAAAATGAGAGAAAGGACCTTTAAGAGAAGGTTTATCAGAAGCAGGACAGAGCTTTGTTTTTTAAAGCTTGGGTCCCTTGTTATTGTGAAGGGAGAATCTCTCCTGCCCTGGAACCACCAAGACTCGGGTGATTATTGAAGACACAGAAGGTAGAGTGAAGGACGCGTGGGAGAGCTGCTGTTGCTGCTTTCATTTTGTGTTATTTTGCTAGACATGCGGGGGTCATAGCAACCTTCTGTTATCCTTGTTAGCTTGGGTTGACTGAAGTGCCAGCATTTCTCTTAGTTTTTGTCTTTTGTTAAAAAGAATATTTTTTAGAGCAGTTTAACATTTATAGGAAAATTATAAAGACAGTACAGAAATTCCTATGCACTCCAACCCAGTTTCTTCTATTAGTAACATTATACATTAGCATGATTACATTTGTTACAATTAATGGACCAATACTGATATGTTACTAATCCATATTTTATTTAGGTTTCCTTAGTGTTTACCTAATGTCCTTTTTCTGTTCTGGGATCTCACCTATGACACCATATTGCATTTAGTTCTCATGTCTTCTTCGACTTCTTTTGGCTGTGACATTTTTCTCAGGCTTTCCTTGTTTCTGATGACCTTGACAGTTCTGAGGAGTACTTACTGGTGAGGTATTTTGTGGAGTGTCTGTCACTGAGATTTGTCTGATGTTTTTCTTGTGGCTAGATTGGGTTATGGGTCATTGAGAGAAAACACAGCAGTAAAGTGCCATTTTCTTCACATATAAGGATACATACACCCTATCAACATGACTAATCACTGTTGATGTTGACCTTGATCAGATAGTGTTTATTAGGTTTATCTACTGTAAAGTCACTATTTTTATCCCCGTTCCATACTTTACTGTTTGAAACAAAGTCACCACCCACGGTGCACTTAAGGAGTGGGGACCCTTAGCTTTTTAAACACACAAAAAATGTGCAGCAGCTTTTGAAGGGCAGGTGTGAGTGATGATGTTGCTGAATTGTGGGGAGTAGGGAAAAAGAAAAACCCATGCTTTTGTGGTTTATGAATGTTTTGTTTTAAAAAAGTCCCAAAATATTGCTGTGAGAAGTAAGAAAAATGTCAGTTGGAATTTTGTAATTTGTGGAATAAAAATTTATTTTAACCTTGGGCCTAGACCTGCTTTGTTGGTGGTTTAATTAAGGCAATCAGTTCTTACCTCTACCACTAGGACTCCTATGCTGTTGTTGCAGCCAGAGAAGGGAAGATTAAAATTGTCTTTTATTATTGAGAGATTATAGAACATGGTTTTCTTAAAAGCAGTGCCTTTCAGTTGCATTTACTGGATAGTCACAGTCTCTGTGAGTTTTTCACAGCCTCACAGCCTGACCTGGCTGAGTGAGCCATGGGGCACTTTTCCTAGTTACCTGTTCTATTATTGGTAGAGGATTTCATTACCTCCCTCTAGTGGTCAGTTTTATAATATCAGATTCTACTTGGATTAATTCAGCAGTGGAAAAATCCAATTTGTGGCCATCTTTATGATAATTTTATTGAATATTTTAATATAAATGCTAAAACAAATAGTGGTTGAATTTTAGCTATGTCTTTTGGTATTAGAACTAATTTTAAAATGAGGCAATGTTGTAAGGCGGTAATTATAACTTGATGAAAAGCTGTAGTGATGAAGGTATTATTTACCTACTTACTATTATACTAAGCAGTATTTAGTATACTAAATACTTAGTATACTAAAGGTTTACCTACCTACTATTAGACTAAGAACCTCAGTGGACATTTGGTTTTTAATCAGGAATTGAATTTGGCTTCTTGCAAGTGTTTTATCAGTGCTGTAGGAGCAAGTGCTTATTCTGGGTAAACTTGAAAGCTGCAAAGCTTTATGAGGCTAGGAGTGAGGGAGGCCTCTGAGCATTGTTTGTCATTTCTTCACAGATAAAATTTTATCTCCAGTGCAGGAAATAGCCTTCTTTTAGAGATTTACATCAGCATTTATTATTTTACCATGGCTTTAAATATGCAGCTTTTTTTTTTTTTTCTTTTTTTCCCAGGATGCTATCTCTGGATATTCTTAGAAAGTTAAAATAATTTACTAGAACTACAGACTGGCTTTGTACATTTCCTGATGGAAATACTGGGTGATGCAGGATTTGATTATGCAGGTATTCATCCTTTGAATGAGTTCTAGTGTTTGTGCCCAGACTGGGAGTTTTGTTTCATGGAGATTCAAAAGGATGACATCCCAGGAAAGGTAACTGAATCCATGTGAAGTCTGTGAGTCCCTCTAGTCATCTTCCTCCTCATCAGGACGAAAATTGGACTTAAGAGGCAGCGATCCACTGAGCACTGCTTCTGCTCAGAAATAATAAGGAAGGAATTCATACAGAGAACTCGTATGAAGCCAGTAGTTTGTGTCTACTTGTGATCCTCTTGCTATGTGTGATACCATATAGAAATCGTAAAGAAATGGCTATATCTTTGCTTTTATGACTATAAGTAGCACATTAAATGATGTGGTCTGTCTGTTGCCACTCACCCAGCTCCATCTGATCCACTGGAACTCCACTCTGTTTGGCAGCATTGATGAGGCTGTGGGGAAGCCGCACGGGATCGCCATCATTGCTCTGTTTGTTCAGGTAAACTCTCTGCTGTGATTATTGTATTGTTTAGAGATGCTAATTTCCAAATCATTTTGTAAAATACTTTTTATTCTCAATTTTATTGCTTAGAGATGAAATTACACACATACAGAGAACACTTGATAAAAATAGAAAACTTGACCCTTGTGGTTCATCAGAATTCAGCCATATTCGTTGGTGGAAAATAGTTCCGTTATTTAAAGTTAGAAATTTTCTTCAGAGAAACACTCAGGATCTTTGGAGAAATGATTGAGAAAATGACTCCTGAAGGTAGATTTTATTTTATGAAAAAGGTTTTCAGAAAATGTCTTTAGACCCTGGTTTACAGAAAAATCTACAAAAAAAAAAAAAAAAAAAAAAAAAAGAAAAAAAAAGAATTATGTAGTAGATTACTTTAGCCCTTCTTCGTTAACAATTTTCACTCTGAGATTACTTGAAAAACCTTTGCAGATATAGTCAATATAACATTTAGATTTGAGCACTGTGGTAGGCAAAGGATAGTATATAAATTTACCCAAACATATGAAAGCAGGTCTTGTGCTTTCAGAGGTGAAAACTTAATTCAGTTTTTAAGGTGAATCTTCTAAATTTTGTCTTATTACCTATTTGACATCGTAAAAAATTTAGAGGTGAAAGACTACCTGGAAATTTTAGCTTTAAAGCTACCATTAGGACCAGAAACCAGAGTTCCCGCTCTGCGTGGCTCTGGGCTGCCTGTTGGATAACCTGGGATTACAGCGTGTTAGCACAGTGTTCTTCAAAAACTTAATTTTCCAAAGAGAGTTCGATAATGGGCCCTTTTAAACTTGTTTTTTTATGGCATATATATCACAAATTAATTGCAATAATTTTTAATACATATCTCCTAGATGTTTCTTTATTGATGTTTGAAAGTAGCCATCCAGTTTAGGCTCTTAATATTTTAAAGTCAGCATCTTGCAAATATGACACATCATAGAAATTTAGAGGAAATCCTTACATTTTTCAGTGAGTCCTCTTACTATTTATTTCACAGCTTTGTCACAGGTGGGGACCTACATTCCTTGTGTTTTATAACTGCATTATATAACTAGAAAGAAATCACAAAATATTAATGAAAAAAATTTTTTTCATTATAGAAATATATTTTGATAATTTTTAGTATACTGAAGTAATAATTATGAAGGACTACTCTTATAACCCAGAAAAGTTAATAAAGTATCCAAATCTGAGAAATTGAGACAGTAGAAGGTACTAAAAGTGAGAATAAAAAATAGTAAAATAAAAATAAGAATGCAAATAACCATATAGTCATATATAGAAGGGAAAGGAACACGTCAGTTTCATCTTTGGAATTGGTACTCAAATATTTGTGGATGGAATTAGGTGTGATAACTTAGTATTTTCACTTCCTAATTCTTACTACGTAACAGGTGACCTGGATTTGTAGAGCTTCGGACTGAAAACCCAGCCCCTTAGAACTAATGCGAGTGTTTCCAAGAACAAGTTGCATTATTGCAGGCAAGGGAAAGCCTGGAGAGCAAGCACACGTTTTCTCACTTTTCATAAGTTTCTGTGAGGAAAAATTCAGGTTATCTGTGTGCAGATTCTCAGGAGAGAGTAAAACTGCAGAACTGAGAGCAAAATTTCAGGAAGGAGGGAAGGAGAGGGGAAGGGAAGGATAGGCTGAAATCCATCTGGGGAGTCTGGCCCTCGGGCTGGAGGAAAGAAATTGGGTGGGAGGGAAGTCGGAGGCATTGAGTAGACTTTCCTTCCAAGAAGTTTGGCCAAAGGAAGGAAGGAAGGACAGATGGGGCAATAACTAGCGATGATGTCCAGTGAATCTTTTGAGATTTGAGATCTGCCTGTAGTTTTTGTTTTTCCCTGAGCAATAAGATCTATTGCAGAGATAGAGATTAAAAATACTGGAAAGAGAGGGTGTCACTGATGTGGAAAAGTCCTGGAGGAGGCAAGAGGGCATGGGATGGAGAGCTTATGCGGTGGACTAATCTCAGATAGGAGCAGACCCACCCCTTCTCCAAAATAGAGGGCCAGGAGGAAAGGGTGGGCACACATGGGGCCTATTTGTAGGTGGAGAAGGGCAGGACATTAAGGGAGTTCATGCCTGATGACCTTCATTATCTCTGAGACACAAAGCAGAACTATTTATAGAACAAAGAAAACGTGGGTGTGGGATTGAGTCTTGAAATAGACCAGAAAGGGATGATAATAGACTTGGCTCACTGAGGGATCATACCCCAGGGTATGATGGGTTGTTCTTTATCCAGGTAAAGGACTAGAGAGTTCTAGTAAGTTGTTGTGTTGATCCATCACAGAGCAGATGATTTAGGAGGTAAAAGGATTAAAGAATGGAGAGTGGTTGGAGAGACATCATTCTGTCTAACCAGTCCTACACCATGTCTAGGCAGGAGGGGGAAGGAGAAGAAGCCACAGGGACCTCCCAGCCTTGGCTCCTGGTGATCAGTGAAGGGGAGAAAGGAAAGAGCAGGAGAGCTGGATGACCCAGGGCATCTGGTCAGAGAGGCCAGTCTTTCAGAATTGAAGTTTTCAGAATGAGAGCACGTACCAGGAGTGTCCTCAGAGTTGGTTTGCTGAGGTGGAATGGGGCAGAAGGCCACAGACTGAAGGGTGAAGAGACTTAGGCCAGGGAGGGGCCTCCAACCCTGGGTGCTGAAGCTGTCCAGGGTAGTAGCAGGAGGTGATGCCTGGGAGAGATTGTCTAGTGGGTCAGTAAGGGAGAAAGAAGGAGGCCTTGATAGCCTTAGAGGATGGTTCCCTTGGGAGGATGGCTCCCTTGGGAGGATGGCTTGAGCATGTGGGTCAGAGAGTTCCACACTGAAGGGAGCAAGAGTACACTGACTGTGGATCCCAGTCTGTCTCCCTGGGGGACTGCATGGCATCTACTCGAAGGGCCTGCAAAAGAGCCATGCCCTTGTGCAGACCTGAGGGGTTCAGGTAGATCAGGAAGTGGTGGGAGATGTTGGCAGAAATGCAAGGTTGTTCTGTTCTAGAGAGTGCAGTGGAAGATAAGGAGAGATTGAGTTAGAAGTGAAAAAAACAGGTGGTTCAGGGCTGAGATGCCAGGCAAGGAGAACGGACCAAAGTGGTTTGCATTTCCAGTGGTGGTGAAAGACGGCAAAGGTGAGAGCTGAGAAATGAGTTGTTCTCAAGGTTCCTAGTGGGCTTTTGGTACCAGGTTGTGTTATCTGAACAGTTGCTTGCATGGTTTTAGCAGTTGGGGTGTGGAGATTATCATCAGTACTTGCTTTTTGCTGGTCATCATTACTTCATACAAAAATTTGGCAAGGAAGGAAAAGAAAAAGATGGCGTAATAACAGAGTTTATAGAATTTGCAAGATATAAAGTTTTGCCCATAAAGTAGAGTCTTTATAGATAGAAGGAGCTAGTAATAGTTGTTAAGCGCTACTGTATGGAAAAACTATATTTGATGCTGTAGGGCGTCCAGATTAAGAATAATAATGGACATTAAATGAATTATGATGACCCAAACCTGTTCTACAGCTTTCGTTTGATTTAATCTTATCTACAAACCTATCATTTTTATCCTCCCCAGCAAATAGCTGAGGAAGCGGAAGGATGTAGAGGTTAAGTACACTTGCTTAAGGCCACGCAGCTAAGAGGTGGCAGAGTCAGGATTGGAATCTAGGCAGTCCAGTGCAAAGTGAGCCTGCTCCTGAGGTGCCACATTGAGTGGCCTTAGTGTTCATATGTGGACTCTTCAAAGAGTTTACAACCCGACAGGAGTTGCCTGAGATGAAAGCAGACCCCAAGTGCAGACGTAGGCCTCCCAGTGCTATAGCAAGGTTAAACCAGTAAGACAAAGAGAGGTCCATTTCTCCTGAAGAATGGGTAATGATTTCTGCCTAAAAATTCAGGCTGCTGTACCCACAGGTACATATGCATTAGGTTTTAATTTTGTTTGTTTGTTTTTAACTTTAGAAAGTTTACTTTCTGTTTTTAGAGCCTATCTCAGGAATAATTGTAGACTCTTGGAAAGTAGTTCACGTCTTGATGGTTTAGAGCTGCCTGGCCTACCTTAGGTGGAGCATTTCTTGTATCTCTCCTGTGCCTTTGGATGCTCTTTCATCTGCATGTTTTGCAGTTGGTTAATATTGGTAGAAACAGAGAATGCGAACATACTGACAGCTACTCTTGCTTCTCTTAGGTCATTCTGCAAATATCTATGTAGAAGGAGAAAAGCTGACAAAAGCAGCGATTGTTTATTTGAGGTTCTAAATGACCTCCATTACTCTCCTCCATTATCATGGACCATTGGAAATTGGTCAGATTTCATTTAAAAGTTTTAAAGCCAAAGTCAAGAATATTAAGTGTTAGAATTTTTTTGTCTCAATTTTTTTGGGAGCATTTTATACACTAATAATATATAGTGATATGTTTTTAAAAATAAGGCTATAAAAAGCATATTCTTATTTCTTTAAAAATAGGTAGTTATAAAATTATGTCTAGTAGTAATCAAGAAGGGTCTTGATTTTGATGAATTTAACATACAAAATCACATACCTGCTTTTCTAAGTTAATATAATTTTTCAGTATTGTTAAAATCTTTATAGCAATGATCTATAGATGCCAGAGTTAAACATGGAAGGGTTTGAACATGTACTGAGTAGTTTTAATTCAAAAATATCCTTGATATTTTTATATAACAGTGCTTTATAATTTGATATATTATATGTAGCAAAATGAGTGATTCCTATACATAGTAAGAATTTAGAACGAGTTCTTGTACATTTATATATCTAATACTTTATTATACTAGCTTCGTTACAACTTTAATTACCTTTAGTAGACATTGACCTAGTTATTAATAAAAGGCCATTTAATTGTTCCTCCAAAAGGACATTCAGATGGACTGGAACCAAGTTCTGTTAGTTTTTTTTTTTTTTTTTTACATAAACATTTTTGTTGTGAAAAATAACAAAATCTTGGCTCACTGCAACCTCTCTGCCTTCTGGGATCAAGTGATTCTTCTTCCTCAGCCTCCCGAGTAGCTGGGACTATAGGTGTGTTCCACCACACCCAGCTAATTTTTTGTATTTTTAGTAGAGACAGGGTTTCACCGTGTTAGCCTCGATCTCCTAACCTCATGATCCACCCAACTCGGCATCCCAAAGTGCTGGGATTACAGGCATGAGCCACTACTCTAGGCCGTGTTAGTTTTTTTTTTGAGTTAAAGCTAAACACTGAAAAATGTTGTGGTTGTGGTTTATGCTTTATATTTTTCAGATAGGAAAGGAACATGTTGGCTTGAAGGCTGTGACGGAAATCCTCCAGGATATTCAGTATAAGGTAAGTCATTATTTAAAATAATATAGAAATACTGGTTGTGTAGGAGGTCCCTGTGACCACCTGCAGGCGCGATGCTATGTTAGAAGGACTCACAGACCTCAGAAAAGCTGTTATCCTTGTGGTTATGGTTTATTACAGTGAAAAGAAACAGATCAAAAAGCAGAAGGAAAAGGTGCACGGAATGAAGTCCAGGGGAAACCAGGCACAAGCTTCCAGGTGTCCCCTCCCAGTGGAGTCATGCGAGGAGGCCCCTAATTCTCCTAGCAATGATGTGTCATAACATGTGTGAAGTGTTGACAACTACAGAAGCTCACTCTAGCCTTAGTGTCCAGAGATTTATTAGGGGTCAGTCATTGAAGCACAAAATGCCTGCAACGTAACTGTCCTCAGCTACTCACTCTCTAGCAGCAACCCTCTCCCTGCCCTCTTCACCATAAGTCACATTGTTAGCATCAGCTTCTCTGTTGCAATTGGTACAGTATGTCTGAAGGCCTCAAACATAACAACAGGAGTTCACCATAAATACAGCATGGCCCAAGGCTGCAGGCACACAGAAACACTCTTATCAGGTAGAATATTCCAAGCTCAGAGTTTATATCCCAGGACCCAAGAGTTAGTCCTAAAAGCAGGCCTTTATATGGGATGTGCAGGATTTGAGCAACTCAGGCCTGCTGAGTTAACCCTTTCCTACCTGCATAAAAGTTGTATAAATGAAACAAATAAAAACTTGGGGAATCATATTTCAAAGTATTTACGTTAAATAAATTTAAAGAAAGAAAACAAGTACACATATGCGGTAAGATAACATCCAAGAGAAGGTGATCAACATGACCCTGCAATGATATGGCCTAGCATTGCTAGGAAGCCAATGCCACCACCACACTCAGCTAGTTTTTGTATTTTTAGTAGAGACAGGGTTTCACCATGTTGGCCAGGGTGGTCTTGATCTCTTGACCTCATGATCCACCTGCCTCCGCTTCCCAAAGTGCTAGGATTACAGGTGTGAGCCACCGCGCCCAGCCCAGTGCCAGTCTCTCTTATAAGCAGTGCCTTCTTGGCTCACTCTTAGTCAGTTGAATGTGAGTGGCCTGGGGGAGGGGAAGTAGTCCAGTCTTGTAGGGCTGCTGGAGATACAGACCAGGAGTTGAACTTGTTTAATTACAGGAGATCCAGAGACCCAAAGCCAGTTTTAAGAAAGATCAATTTGGGAATCAAGTTTGATTAGGTTTATACTAGCACAGCCCAGGGTATCCTGAACCAAGCAGAATCTCCACTGAAGATCTCCTGAGTAGGTTTGGAATGAACCCAGCTTCCAAGGGAAGCCCAGTCCAGACAAAAGAAGCTGATAAAAAGACGGTGAGGGCACATTTTGACTTATATTTGTACAACTGCAATGGGCTGTGGGCTGTGAAAGTTTCCTTTATTTCATCATCTAATAGGACACCAATCATTATGGAATTCAGGAGGATTGGGGAGGCAAGTGAGCTAGATTCTTTAATGTATAAAATTGTCCCAGGAAGTCAGGAAGGGACTTGGAGGTTATGCAATAACTTTCCCTATTGCATCTGTATTGATAGAGAAAAATCTTTTAAGAAACATCTGATTCACATGACAGGACTATTTGCCTCTAAAGTCTAAGCAATTTAAATGACATGATTTAAAATCATGATCTTAAATGTGAATTGTTGAATAAGGGCACAAATTATTCCCTTGCAATTTAAATCTAGCTTTGACAAACACTGATTGGAACAGAATATTTCCATCTGTTTCAGATCTCCGTTTCCAGATGAGGAGAGCATCTAGTATAGATCCCAGAGCTGAATTACCAAATCCAAATAGGACAAAACAAGAAGTTGCAAGCCAGGTTGTAGTGCCAAAAAGGTTAGGAGCTGAAATGAAAGCAAGCAGGAGGAAAGGCATTTTGGAAATTCCCCCATCCAGGGTTCAGGGATTTTACAATGAGAATTTAGCCCAAGTCTCTGGTATGAATGTGCTCAAAGCAGAAAAGGTAACTGACATGGGGCAGATGGGGCACCATGTGTAGGTTCCACACCAGGACTTACAGGGAGAATTGAACTGTGGTAGCAAAGAAAATAGCCATAGAATTAGAGCAGGAACCAGACAATGTTACTCCAGTGAGAAGGTGGAAGGAGATACCCACAAGTCTGTGGAACCTGATGAGGCCATTCAGAAAATACTTCATTCTAATTTTTTAGTTCTAATAGATTTTTATTCTAAAATCTAGAAATATTACATTAACATTGGGTAAACATTTTTTCTTTTCAGGGGAAGTCCAAAACAATACCTTGCTTTAATCCTAACACTTTATTACCAGGTAAGTATTTATCTGATTGCATAAAATGAATTTTAATGATCCACAAAGAGCTTTCATAGGATTGTCATTTGTAAAAATTGCTACCTCTGTGTAAAGCACCAGTATAATAGAATAACTTTGGCTGGGTGTGGTGGCTCACGCCTGTAATTCCAGCTACTCAGGAGGCTGAAGCAGGAGAATCACTTGAACCCAGGAGATGGAGGTTGCAGTGAGCCGAGATCATGTGACTGCACTTAGCCTGGGTGACAGAGTGAAACTGTCTCAAACAAACAAACAAACAAACAAAGAAAAAACCTTGATGTACCTCTAAGACTGATCAGTGGAGTTCTTAATCCTTAGAGTAAAATAGACTTTGTATCTAATTTTGTAAGGTTACCTCTCTGCAGTAATACTGTTATTATATATTACTCTAATTGTATTTGTGTAGAGGTAACAATTATACATAAAATACTCAGAATATGATTTAAAGGTTGTTGTATATAAAATTTTGATCTTTACATTTCTCTGCCCAAATTATGTGTTGTCTCTTAGTGTTTTAAACAAAACCAAACAGTTGGTACATTGTATCTTCTATTTTCTACATTTAATTAATCTACAACAAACCAATTTCTATCATATGTTAAACATTTATCCATCATATTAATCATAAATTCCTCTAATGCGGAGCTATAAGATTTCATAAGAATAACCCATTTTGTTCTATTGTAATATTTTAATATTTTGCTGTTGCAGAAGCAGTATAGTGGTAGCTAGAACTGAATGGTTAAAAATACAGGCTTTCGGACAGATGTGGTGGCTCACACCTATGTAATCCCAACACTTTGGGAGGCTGATGTGAGAGGATTGCTTGTGACCAAGAGTTTGAGACTAGCCATAGCCAGACCTCGCTCTCAAAAAAAGAAGAAATAATTGCTGGCTGTGGTGGTGTGCACCCATAGTCCTAGCCACTTGGGAGGCTGAGGTGAGATGATTGCTCGAGCCCAGGAGTTTGAGGCTGCAGTGATTCATGATCACATCACCACACTCCAGCAGCCTGGGTGATAGAGCCAGACCCTGTCTCTTAAAAACGATAATACAGGTTATGAAGCCAGACTGCATGAATTCGAATCCTGGCTTTGCCAGTGATTATTAGCTGAGTGACCTTCGGCAAACTACTACTCTTTTGAGATTCAGTTTCCCCATCTGAAAAATAATGTTAATATTACTACCTATCTCACTGGTTTGTTGTGAAGGTTAAATGAATTAAAGTAAATTGCTGGCACGTCATAAGCGTTCAATAAATATTAGATATGAAATAGTCAGGTAAGTCCTTTAATAAAGTGAAAAAACCCAAAATATAGATACACTTCTAAAGTGATTAAACTTTACAGGTATATATAGTAATCCATTGATAGAAATCACTGTAAATAATAGAGAATTCATCATTTTTTTAATCAATTATTTTTTCCACAATGAGTACTGTAAGAATGTGGAGCTCTAGTTTAAAAACGACATCCATCTTAGAAGCATCATTTGGACAGTTTGTAATTTTGAAAATTGTTGGAGTCATCAGGATTGTTATTAATTCACTTGCCTTTTCCATGACATATCCACGTGGCCGTGCAGACCCTCTGCTGCGGGATTACTGGGTGTATGAAGGCTCTCTCACCATCCCACCTTGCAGTGAAGGTGTCACCTGGATATTATTCCGATACCCTTTAACTATATCCCAGCTACAGGTGAGTGTGCTGCTTTGAATCTTTCAGAGTAAAGTTATGAGTTAAACATTGTTTCTGAGAAAGGAAAACGTCTGTTTTATGTTTTAGCTCCTTTTAGATCAGTCATACCTCTCCAGATGAAAGTTAAGTGGCTTAAACTAGTGAAAGTGATTGAAAGGTCAAGGATGGACAGAACTCAACACTAATTTATGGTCTGTATTTTAAAAGTTAGTTTTTAGAGAGTTAATCGAGATCACTGAAAGGCAAAACTTTTTATTAGTCTAGTTATTTCCTTATGTGAATTTCCCCAGGTGTGGAGAATAGAAAGTCTGGAAGTAAAGTGGGGATGCTGGTTATTTCTGTGAGTCACTCATAGGCTTTGAAATCCTTTTACCTTGGTGTGTACAGGAAAATTCTGCATGTGTGGGGTGAAGGACCCAGAAGGAGTGCACTAGAAAATTGTGGATTGTTTGCTAGCTCCACTTTTGGTCACCCATCCCCGGCCTTGGGCTCTTCATAGGTGCCCTAAATGCTACTGCACAGTGGGTGGGAGCACCTGAGTGAATTGTCACTGGGATGTTAGCTGGTGGAACATGAGGCAGCATCACTCGAATCTATTTAAACCATGATTTTGATATTACAAAAGGGGCTTTAAATATCTCCTTTCAGGCATCTGTCTAAGGGATGGATATGTTCTGGAAAGCTGTATTGTTTCTTCATGATCAACCTCAAAAGACTTGGGAAATACTCTCAGCAAACCAAGTTTTCTTTGGTAGCTTTTAAATATTCACCATTATTTCTTGAAGTTAAAAAGCTCAAGTTCACTAACTTCTCAGTAAAGCTTTCTTTAGTTTGTCCTTAAATCTTAAAAAAATCCTTCTTCCAACATTTAATAATTTTATTTATTTGTGTTTTGCTAGGGATTAATTTAATAATTTCCCCACTCAGCCTCTCCTTCCCATACCCTTTATTATTTTATGAACTTTGATCATATCACTTTTGAACCTCATATTTTTATGACAAATTCTAATTCCTATATTTAGTCATTCATCTATTTTTGTTTTTATAAGAAACTATTCTGCACATGATTAGACTAGGGGTATGGGTTTGAGAAAAACAACTGTGGAGGTGAAGGGCTCTTCTCATCACACTGAACGGGGGTATAAGTGTATGCCAACACTCACTTATCACTGGTGATGTGTTCTTGTTTTTTAGTACCACTAAATGCACTTTGCTTTTAATTTAAAAATGAAGAACAAAAAGAAACCCTTCCTGAATGCCAACTGGACACAGAGGATAGTGAGATTAAAACAACTTTTACTCTCAAAAAGTTCACCAAAGAGATGGGGAGGCAGATGACTAAACAATTAACATGATAATAAGTAAGGTCCTCTGGAAACACCTATGGAAGAAACCCAACCCAATCCAAGAGGTTTAGGGAATAATTTCTGCAAAATATTAGAAATTAGTCTGGTGAAGGACAGGAAAGAAGTTAGAAATTTGGGTCCAATGTTAAGCCTAGAGTTTTGGACTCACGATATCTAGATTTGGGACTTAACAGCGAAGATGACGGCTGCTACAACAGATAAACCTCAAATGTCAGTGGCTTAACACAGTAGAATTTTATTTCATACTCACATAAAATCCAACATATGTGTTTCTGATTCACAGTGAAGGCTTTTCTCTGTGTAGTCATTCAGGGAACCAGGTTGAAAGAAACACTTCCGTCTTCACTGCCCTCCTCCCACAGTCGCCCTCAATGAGAATAGGGTGAAGGATCTTAACAGGGGTCTTTTGAGGGCCAGTGGTATAAACAGGGAGCTCCACTTGTACTTACTTTCTGTTAGCTAGAACTGGTCACATAACTACCCTAACTGCAGGGGAAGCTGGGAAGTGCATTCTAGCTTCACGCCCAAGAAGAAGACAAAAACAGATTCGGTGATCAGATGAGCAAGAATTCCTGGCACCATAGCTCAAGCTGAGTAGGAAGACAAGAAGATAGCTCCCACTCTGTGCAACCCCGCACTGGAGATGGGGGAGATGATGCCTCCTTAGGAACTAAGGACCAGGGGTCTTGAGAAGAACAGGGAGGGAGAGTTGCCAAGATGTGGAGGAGGAGGGGATTAATACTGAGAAATGCTGTGGACAAGTGCTGCCAACCCTAGCATCAAATAACTACAGCACCTTTTAAAAATGGACCCGGGCCAGGCGCAGTGGCTCATGCCTGTAATCCCAGCACTTTGGGAGGCCGAGGCGGGCGGATCACAAGGTCAGGAGATCAAGACCTTCCTGGCTAACATGGTAAAAGCCCGTCTCTACTAAAAATACAAAAGATTAGCTAGGCGTGGTGGCGGGTGCCTGTAGTCTCAGCTACTTGGGAGGCTGAGGCAGAGTGGCGTGAACCCGGGAGGTGGAGCTTGCAGTGAGCCGAGACTGCCCACTGCACTCCAGCCTAGGCGACAGAGCAAGACTGCTTCTCCAAAAAAAAAAAAAAAAAAAAAAGGGCCCAGGTGCTTGGAGTTCTGAACTTCTGGCTTCCATTCTGGATCTCAACTTGTTCTTGTCCTTTGATACCTAACTCTTTCCCTGGCCAGGCATGCTCACTGCTTGATTCTGGTTTTAGTATCCTCCTTTGTTGCTGAGTTTTGGCTTCCCTTCTCCAATATGATTCCTCCTCCATCCCTTCCACTGTACTGTTTCTGGTTCCTCTAGGTAAGGAAACACCTTAGCCCATCTAAGCAGTTTGCCTCGAGGCCCCTACCATGATGAAAGCCTTCTTTTCTTTTCTGATTTGCCTCATCGTTGCAAACAAGATGCATGAACAGGAGCTATAATCGCCAGTTAGGTCATTGTTAACCCAAAGGAGATGTTTCTGTAGAATGTTGAGCTGAACGTAGAGGGACCAAGCATAAATATGGACCATATATAGACCATCTTTCTAGAAGTTTTATGGGAAAGGCAAGGAGGGATTTAGGGACAACGTTTAGAGAATAGTCAAGTATTTTTTGTTTTGTTTTGTTTTCTTAAGATTTAGGAAACACTAGAGGTTTTGTAGGCATATTGAAAATAATCTGTGAATAGAACAGTTGATCCCTTGATGTGGTGACTACCGTCATCATTCCCAGGTTTCAGATGAGGTGATTGAGGCCTGTGGAGATTAAGAAACCTTTGCCTAATTGACACAGGTAGTATGGATAGATTTGGGGATCCAGCCAGTCATGTGTGATGTCAGTGCTGGGTGCTTAACTACTGCCCCTTTCGGTGTGCCCTCTTCAACACTGCACTTCGTTTGAGACCTTCTTTCTGCATGAGGCCTTGTCAGGAAGCCCACAGCAGTGTTAGAGGAGGTTTCTGCCTTTTCTGTTATGTTCTGTATCCCCAGTTGGAGGAGTTTTGTTTCTCTCAAGCAATTGGAAACCCATAACAAGAACTTCAGAGGCTGAGGCCTAACGTGCAGATGTAGGCATCCTTAGCATCAAAAAAAGAGCAGAATAGGCTGGGCGCGGTGGCTCATGCCTGTAATCCCAGCACTTTGGGAGGCCCAGGCGGGCAGATCATGAGGTCGGGAGTTCGAGACCAGCCTGGCCAATATGGTGAAACCTCATCTCTACTAAAAATACAAATATTAGCTGGGTGTGGTGGTGGGTGCCTGTAATCCAAGCTACTCAGGAAGCTGAGGCAGGAGAATTGCTTGAACCCGGGAGGTGGAGGTTACAGTGAGCCAAGATTGTGCCACCGCAGTCCAGGCTGGGCAATGGAGGAAGACTGCGTCTTAAAAAAAAAAAAAAAAGACAGAATAACAAAACAAATGAGACACCCAAGAAAAGAATATGAACAGAGAAGAGTCAAGTAGTGAGGATGGAAGGAGATAGTCCCCTGAGGTCCTGAGGTACTTTCCTGAGGCTGATACTTCCTGGGGTATCCTTCCTAAGACTCTTCTAAACAGGGAGGACCCTGTGCAATTCACTCTTTTCCGTTTGCCATCTGGTTGCTCCAGGTCCCTTCTCTTGCTGACTTTGTATTTCTGAAGCAGAGAAGGGGTCTAGGATTAGCAGGTGTGTGAGGGCCATACTCACTGCCGGCCGCCCCATCCAGGTCAGACTCAGGGACTGCAACCTGAGCAGGGGCCGTGGGTCATACAGTCACTATTGTTCTATGAATGACACATGTAAAACATCAAACTTGCCTCTGCATTTACTTTTCCTACAATTTGACTCGAGGATACGTATACATTTCTTTGTTGTTGTTGCAGATAGCCCAAAATCTTAGATGCCCAAATTTCAAAGCCCTAAGGCTTAACATACAGCTTGTTTTATGATAGTGGGATGCATTCATTTGCTTTTACTTGTCATTGACCCTGTTAATACAAGCAGTGTATTGATATGGTAAGGTAATTATTGCATAGTCCTAGCTTCCTTTTCTTTATCCTTCTGATAGGCAGTTTTTAGCATGCAAAATTGCTCCTTTGAGGCTGATGTGGAGTCTGAAGGAATGCATGCATTCATTCCTTCATTTATTTGGCAGTTATTTGACAATTGTTATGTGCCAGTTACTGTAATCAGTACTGACAAGGGGAGAGCCAGTAAGACACCTCAAAGAATTCACTATCTAGGAGGAAAGGCCAGCTGATACATAGGTGTACATTAAAAAAGAAAAAACAAAACAACAAACAAAAAAACCCCAGTCATTTGCTGTGTCCAGCACTATGGGATGATATGGACATAGTCTTGAGGTAGCACATAGGAAAGGTGCCCGGATGAGAGTTAGTTATCTAGAAGACCTTCCCCAAGCCAGGTCAAGAGGTGTTGCCTGAGTATTTGTGGGAATTGCCAACGGGAAAAGTGTATGTATGCTTGTGTCTGGCAGGGAGGCCAGAGAACAGGGTGCATTTGGGGAAAGCTTGTGGTAAGTGTGGAGAGCCTATGACATGAGGGGGTTGGAGAGGGGAGCAGGAGACTTCCTCAGTGAGCCTCAGGGCTGTGCTATGGAGATTGGTTTTTCTTCTGAAGGTGGCAAAGAAT